TTCATTAAACGTTTCATTAAATCATTAAAGATTCGTATTACCGTTCTCGCCTCTGAATCCTCGGCTGAATTCAGTCCCCCCCCCCCCCCCCCCCCCCCCCCTCCTCTCCTGCGCGAGGCTTTGACGTTTTATTATTAGAGAAAGAAAACGATGCGTTGTACCGTTCTCTATACTCTTAATCCTTGTCTGAATTTCAAAGATGTTCTTTGTCTGCTCCTATTTCTTCCTACGTCCTCTTCCGATAAGGGGGGGGGGACCGCCCCCCCCCCCTCTGGCTACGCGCCTGTGGTCAGATAAACACATTTTGATACCTTGTCCGACCCCGCAAGCTCAGGGGTTTAAGGCAATAAATTACGGTCAGATAAGCATTCAGGGGCCCGGCCGCCTTAGGGCCCCTGGTGGGGTCGAGGCGGCGAAGCCGGCCCCGGAAGCATATGAGATGAGCATATTTTTTTTGTATACCTTATTATTTTGCGACACTGGCAGGTCACTATTTGGCGTGGGGTCCAGGTCCAAAAATCAGGGGTTTTAGGCATTAAATTACCGTCAGATGATCATCTAAGGGCCCGCCGTAGGGCCCTAGATGGAATCCAGGTGGCAAGGGGGATTTAGTTTTAGGGATTTTAGGCATTTAATCACGGTCAGATGAGCATATTTTGATGCCTCATTATTTTGTTAACACTGGCAGTTAACTATTCTCACTTTCTTGCTCTCATTCTATTTTATATTTCTTTAATATACTTTTTCAAGAAAAGTGGGGGGGGGGCTCGAGGCTCTCGATCCCCGCCGTACCTTGGGCCCTGACATGTAGGAATTTCAAGAATCATATTTTTTCCCTGGCTGTAAATTTAGAAATTTGTCATTTTCCAACAAACACATACAAACGTTTAATTTACTAAAAAGTGAGGAAAAATTTCGGAAATTATGTCATTTCAGCATTATTTGTAATCCACCGTTGTGGAATTAGAAATAAACCACGTTTGAATTTGATTTCTCCCAACCCCCCCCCCCTCTATCAGTACGCCATTATCTCCTCTTTTCCTTTTTTTTTTTCTTTCCCTTTCCTTCCTTCTCTCTTATTTTTTTGATTGGGGGGTGGGGGGGGGGGGGGTTAACAGCCTGGGAGGCAAGGCCCTTTCGCCCCCGATCTCCTTCCCCTTTTTCTTTTCTTCTTCCTCTTCTTTCTTTCCCTTTTTCTCCTTTTCACCTTTCCCTTCTTTTCCTTTCTTCTCTTTTTATTTTGCGGGGGGGGGGGGCAAGGCCCGCTCGCTCCCCCCCCCCCTGGATCCGCGCCTGCCCCCCCCCCCCCACCTCCCTTCGGCAATAATCGGGCAAAAAGTCACAATTTTGGGCCGAAAGGTAAATAGAAGTTAAAGAAATAAAAAAAAAAGTAGCGCTGAAATAACGGCTGCAGAGAATCCTTCGTTTGTTTTTTTCGATAAGCCTATAGGCCTATAAAACCATTCAAAGGCGGCGGAGCGACTTCCAAAATGTGGGGGGGGGGGGGGGCACCATAAAAAAGGGCACCTACAAAGGGAAATTTTAGACATAATTTGATTACATTATCAGGGATGATTTCAATATTTTTTGTTTCTCTCTATACATCGTATCAAATATTGCTTAAGCATCCTACCTTGCAGTTGAGTGTGATGGTCGAAAAAATCATTTGCGATCGAGCAAAGCGAGCAAGGAAAAAAAAAGATTTGTGAGGTCGCAGTGCGAAAAAACTACATCTTATAAAGAGGAAAACCCCAATCCTCATCGGGTTATAAATAAGCACATTCTCATAACAGCAGACTGAAAAGACCTTTGATAAGTAACATAGTTATAACATGTATAAATGTGAGCAAGCTTTGGGATATATTGCTCTTATAGTCGCTTGAAATTAGGGGCACGTTTAATGATGAGAGGAAAAGGGGACACTTATCGAAGGGATAAGACACTTATTAGAAAATAAAAGGAGCACATGTCAGAGTACAAAGGGTAATTATCAGAGGTAAAAATGGGGCTCTCACCACGGATGAAAAAGGCAATTATGAGAAAGAAAAAATCGGCATTTGACGACTTAAAAGATGCAGCCATCAGATTTTGATAGGGGCATTTATGAAAAAGGGATAGGGGCACGTATCATTGTTAAAAAGGATAATTATCAGAGGTGAAAAGGGACACTTATCGCATCTGAAAAGGAGCAAGGCCTACAGTGTATATGAAAGGAGGCACTTATGAGAATGAAAAAGGGGTACTAATATAAAGGGAAATGTGCATTTGTTGAAAGAAAAGGGGCACCGATCAGATTTTGAAAGGGGGCTTATTGAAAAGGTGAAGAGGCACTTATATGAAGGAAAAAGAGCATTTATTAGGAAGGAAAAGGGGCACGTGTCAAGATAAAAGGGGCTGTTATTAGAGATGAAAAGAGCACTTATCAGGAGGAAAAGGGGCACTTGTCAAAATGAATTGAATTGAATTGAATTTCTTTATTGTCATGCACAAAATAAAATGAAGGCATAAAAATCGTCTTACAACTCACACTTGTATAAAATATAACAATACATTAACATATCATAGACATTAACTACAAATAACATAAATAACATAACAATGTAATATAATTTAACCTCTCTGTTGAGAGCCAGGGGATTTATTTGAATTTGTACTCCCCTGGCTCCCAACAGACAATACTAACTTAAATAAATAGCAGAAAATGTACATGACAACAATCAATGTCATTTAACATATAAATAGAACAAGTCACAGCAAAGATCTAAAATCAATTATTATTGTTAAAAATTCCAGATAAAAACTGTTTATTTTGGGTAGCAGACATAAACTAAATGTACATCATACTGGATGGCAAGGAGGAAAGACAAGAGAGAAAACGAGAGAGAGTGGAAAAGAGGAACAGTTCAGTGTGAGATGATGCATATACAATTTTATTCAAAACATTGCTTTGTAACAGACATTATTTATATTGCACCTGTGCTTAGAACTGTTACATATATGAAACACTGCTATGCATGCCAAGAAATACAAATACAACTGTATGCTAGTACATGTACATTTAGATGGTAGATACACTGTACAGTTGAAAAGAAGAAAATTGATGTCAGATAGAAGAGGCTGGAAGAGAGACAAGAAGGAAAGAAGAAGAAAGAAGAAAGAAAGAAAAGTGGAGAACAGGAAAGAGTGGAAAGAAAGGAAAAGGAGGAAAAGTGAAGTGTGAGATATTGAAAATATTGTTGAATTGAATTGACGAGTCCACATGTCACTTACAAACTACCAACCACCCCAACCATAACAGCAGGGAGGACCCCCTCCCCCTTGACCTTATACAAGCCGACCCATCTTCTCATCTTCACCCCCTGTACTTCCAGGATATGAAGAGAGAGGGAGAGATATATGTAGGATAGAGAGAGGGCAGAAGAAGACAGAGGAGAGAGATAAACTGAGTATCTCTCAGAATTTAATAGGGTCATTTACCAAACATGAAAAGAGGCACTAATATGAGAATGAAAAAGGACTATTTTTATCGGTGAAAAGGGCCATTTATTCTCAAGAGAAGGATTCTTTTTTTAATTGGGGGCATGTATCATAAGGAAAAGGGGCACTTATTATAAAGGAAAGGGGCACATGTGAAAAAATAAGGTGCGCTTATCCGAGTAAAAAGGAGTAGTTATTAAAAGGGAAAGGGGCACTTCTTACAAAGGAAAAGGGGCAATTGTCAAAGTAAACGGGGCACCTCTAAGATTTGAATAGGGCAATTATCAGAGGTGAAAGGGGCGCTTAACAAAAGTGAAAAGGGGCGCTTCTCGTACCCGAAAAGGGACACTACTAGAGATTAAAAAGAGCACTTATGAGAATATTGCAAAGGAAACTGGGAACTTGCCAGGGAAATGAGGTACGTTACAAAATAAAAGGGGCACATATCAGAGGTAGAAAGGGGAGGGGGCACTTTTTAAGTAAAAAGGGGTGCTTCTTACAAAGTTCAAGGGGCACTTTTGGGGTTCTTGAAAAAGTGGGGGCACTGTGCCCCCTGCCCCCATTTCTTTTTTGTAACTGCTTATTCAAATTCACATCATCACAAAATGGAATTCTTGCATCATCATTTATCAAAGCTTATATATCCCAGTCATGTCTGCAAGTGATGATAACATTTTCACCATTTTACCAAAATCAGGCACAAATGGATGTTGACACCCCATTTTCAAAAAGATGCTGCCTCGGTGAAGCATGTATAGACGAATGCAGTTAAAATACAGAATGTATCATTTGAAAGCATATTCCTTTTTCTTTATACTGCTCACATTTTTTTTTACAACTGGTAGTTAGTTATTGTTGTTTTTTCTTCTTCTGGGATACGCTCTCTATTCGTATTCATTATATTCACTTCGTAATGCTTGGTTGCAACCAAAAGCAACTTTAGACAAGTCCTTGGGACAGGCATCTCTCATGCTGTATCAGAGTAAACATTTATTCACAATAATGGCACTCTGCCTGTACCTGTTATAGACTATAATTTTTATTATTATCAATGTTCATGACTGCATATATTTCTATTCATAATGATTAATTTTTACTTGTTTAGTACAAAATGGTATACTACCATTTAAGGTTTTTTGCAATCCAAACTAATGTAAATTAATATCAGCATCTTCTTAAGATCCCCAAGACACGAGTAGTCTGTGGTGAAAGGGCCTTTTCAGCTGCAGCACCTTCTCTGTGGAATAATTTACCATTTAATTTGAGAATCATAACTTCCTTAGCAGTTAGAGACCTTTAAATCCAAGCTGAAATCTTATCTTTTTTTAACAATACCTGTACTTGGCACTATGACACTCATCCAAACTCTCTCATTCTGTCTATTTTTCTTGTGCGCCTTGGAATAGAATTGTCTAGATAGACGGCACTATATAAATGCCTATTATTATTATTTTGTATGTATAACTTATGTTACTTGTTATTTCTATATTTTTATTGCAAATTATACACAATTCAACATTATGTTATGATGCATGATTTTTCATTATTTAATTAATATGGTACATTTTGAATTTAATTAACTGTTTACTACCATACTTGCATGTCTCTTTGATTTGGGGTGAGCGTTTGTCCATTAAGGATACACCAAAATAATTGGGGCGGTGCAATTAATTCACTTGAAGGACAAAATGTCTAAATCAATCTTTAAAATAAATTAATATAAACCAGTACTGTACACTTATTGCACTCCAAATTAACAGTCCAAATTAAAGACACATAATTGACTAAAGTATTACAAAATTTACAGTTCAAACGAGCAGTACGTAAGTGATCCCATTCTTATAAAATTTGATGTTGAATATAAAGATAAATTATAAATCAATTCTTTTTTTAAACACGTAAAAATGAGATCTAAATACATTACAAATAGATCACCTTGCTGGTCAAACTGCACATCACAAATAACTCTTGCCTGTTTTAGGGGTGATTTCAAATTTCTCAGAGGGCTGTAGCACCCAGGAATACAAAGACGCATTTAAATTTGCCTTCCTCTCACAAAAGGCCAATTTCATGAAATTGCGATAAAAGTTCATGAAGAAATCAATGGAACTCTATTGTAAGCAGTAGTGGCTCTAAGAGGGTACCAGGGTGCCCCCTCCCCCTCCCCCAAACAAACAAATACAAATTGTGAGGCATGTACATAATTAATGCACAAACCCCCAAGCTTCATCCCCCAACCATTCTTCTAGACCCACTCCTGATTATAAGTTCTTCTACTACATCCTCAAGATTAATTTATCTCCTGAATAAGGAATGAATGTGTAGATGTAACCTGCCAAAATCATCTCTGTAACGTTAGTTATCCTTTAAACCTTGTGATACACATTCATTGAGTAGCAGTATAGAAATCATGTATCATCTATACAGCAGTGTTGGCTTTTTATGTGGACACAAATATAAAACAAAGATTTACAGGAGTGAAATATGTACACAGTAATTTCTCAGTTTGATAACATGCATGTAACCAAAATTGATCAAACCTTGGGGAACCATATAAATTCAAATCAACTTAGGAATACATTGTCACTTTTACAAGTTAACACACAATGTACCTTTTGAACACAAACATATACATGTATGCTAAGCAGCTAATGATCCTTTGAAATACCAGTCATAACGTATTTAGTACATTCAGAGGATGCCCACTCAGTACCTGAGTCCAGATAGTTACACAGCCCTGGGTGACAACAGCAATAATAATAATATAAGACAATGACAATATCATAAGACTACAACACTAATATAGGTGTACATGTATTATAAAACACAGATGGAATGTTAATATTTGGCAACTAGTACAAACAGTACACTAAATGGAAGACGCTTAATAGTCAGAACAATATGAATACATTATTCATGAGCACTAGAAATAAAATGTAAAACTATACCAGTACATTGTTCCGTGCACACTTCTATGAAGCACAACTAGTGCTGCATTACCAGGTATACCTAATGCACTTCATTATCACAAATAACCTTGATTCTACAAAGGTGTAAAAAACAACAATAAAAAAAAGATGTGTCTATTCAGATTTGGTAAATGAAATACAAATATTTGCTTCAGTATACATATACATCACTTCAATTAACATGGCGTGAAAATGAATTGTTATTTCAAGACAAATTGATTGGTTTCAATTAGATATATTCAATGATTGTAATTGGAAGAATTTCCAAGAATCCAAAGGCTAGAGGGAGGCACTTTTATATACAAAACTGTCATTCAGATATGTTGAATTTCTTGTTTTATTTTGGGCGTGACTAGGGCATAGATGTTTTCCATCTATTCACCTATACATGTATGAATTTTTAAAAGAAACTCATTCAGGGTGTTTTTACAGGAGATCCGGAAGGTAACGCTAATACCTACCCTTTATGACAAAATTCAACCCCTGTAGAAATGGGTTGGATCTACAGATACACAATTAACTTTTTATTTCTGCATCTAAAGCAATTTAACAGGAGCACTGCATGTCTGGAAAGTGGTTGTTGTATGGGAGCAGCACAAATTATTGTTACCCATGCAATCATTTTAGCTGTAAAATAAAAAGTTGTATTTTGCACGCTACTTTGAATACGAAACCAGAGCAGGCAACATATGCCATATTGCCCTCTTCCAGGTTTTCTCCGTACACTACTGTACTAAATCAGAGGGCAACATACCGGTATGCCATATTCCACTCTTTCTTGTCAGTACGCATTTATCAAAGTGCAAACGCGCAGTATTGTGTACGTGTTACAGTGTACGCACAGTAAAAATGTACGTCACAATGTCATTTTCATACATTTTCATCTCTGGACAAGAGTAAGGGAAATACAAGCACACATGGTGAGTAAAAATCATGCTTGATACCAAAGTTGTATATCATTTGTAAAAAAAAATGCCTTGTATAGGTTACAATAATTATATTGACGCGCTAAGACCATATTGTCCTCGTCTTCGACTCGGGGCAATATGATCTTAGCTTGGTCAATATGTCTGATGTACCCCTCAAGCCCAGTCAATATAATATAAATGTTTTGTGGCATGTGACCTTAGAGGGTAACATTAATGGAACGTTTCAACAGAGCTGAGACAATATCGTAACAGCAAAAATCCACCTCTGAAGACAGTACGATTTAGTTATAATCAGATAATAATGTATTTCTACAGAAGCACGTCCTGAAAATAATAGGAAAAACAGAGAAAGTAACAAGAAGACGCAGTATATTGATATCCTGTAGAAACATGTCAAATGTGCTCAATCTACACCATAGCAGTACATTTAGCTTGTTTGTCTATGATGTATGTACCGGTACATATCTCTGCAAATGAAGTTGTTTTCCATCTAGCTGTAGATGAACTTGTTTCTAATGTAACTTTTAATTAAGTCATTTTCTATTCAGCTGTAGAAATCGTTTTCCATCAAGTTGTCGATATCAGAATTTACCACCTAGCTGTAGTAGCCATTGATGAGATAATCCACCTTTGAGTATTTCCTTCGCTGGTAGCCTTCACACCATCTCTTCCCGACCACAACCATCATTGCCAGCAAGAAGATGATTCCAAAACACAGGGTCACAATCAGAATGCCTGCAAATCAAGGACACATTAAATGTACTCTAGGTGGCTTCATGCTGGTTACAAAGGAGTGTAAATCTAATATTATAAAATATCTTTCAATCAGGAATCAACACTATAGTATCACTGTATACAGGCGCCCGGGACAAACATACTCCAGACTCCAAAAATCGAATGATTTTCACATAAAGTGTATGCATACCGACTCTAAAAAGTTCAGTCCAGAATCCCTTCCCCAAAAGCCCTGCTTACCCTGCTTAAAGAGAAGGTTGAGTTCTGGGAAGAGGTGAAAAATAATTTGTGAGCGTTATCATTCTTATTATGCAAGTGTGGAAGAACATCAGATAAGACATGTTCCATGAAAAACATGGCTTTCAAATGCCTTCATATTCTAAAGAAGTCATGTACATCGTAAAACTCGGGGGGTAGGTTTTTTACGCCTCGTGTTCGTGTAGTCCCGTATACATCTTTCTGTGTACAGTGTTTGTAACTTTACCAAGACTAGGCCAATTTCTTATCATTCTGATGATTACAGAACCTTGCAATACACACAAATTCTTATATGCTAGATGATCAACTTTTTCTGGTCGATTCCACACCGTTTCTTTCACAATGCAATCGCATGACCAGAACTCAACTTCATCTTTAATTGCTCTAGATAACACATTCATCATCATCAGCTGCAGGTAAAATACTGGAACCCCCCAGCATCAACCACAACAACAATGAAATATATTGTTCATGACATCATTGAGAGCATCTGACTGTGAGTCAAACTCTTGTTTGTATGGCCTTTTCCAAATTGAAATAAAAGAAAAATTTCACTGATCACCAGAGGTAACTTACCAGTCTGTGTCACCGTGGTTCTATTTATGTTGTCATGTTTTATCTGTAGGAAGTGTAGAAATATCAGGATAACAAATCAACAACAAATCAATGCAAAGCGTAGCATCTCCTCACTAGGTACAAATGATCTATATTTAGCAATTTTTGCATATTTAATGAGCTGTGACCTTTGGCGTACATACTCAACAACATTACTTACATTATTTTTAATGAAACCACATTTTTGCATATATAATTAATTACGTATTTTCGCATATTAAATGCGCTATAACCTTTGACCATTGACCTACATACTCCAAAATCAAACTTAGGCTGTACTTTGATACCATGTACCTTCATATCAAATTTCATTTAAATCCGTCCAACACTACTAAAGTTATTGAACGGAAAACAGATTTACTAGGGCTGACGTCCTTGGAAAATGTATGTGATAAATATAAGGTGAGGGTGATAAATGACAAGTCGTATTGCCCTGAATTAGCATTCAATATTACTATTATTAACCACATCAGACATCTAGAGCAAACAAGAAACTCTTACTATCTTATACTCTTAAATCATGTAAAATACAGTAACCTACACTGCACAGGGTTTCCCAGCATGAAAAGTTACAAAAACATTGTCAAACCAGCAGTGCGCATCCTATGCTTGACAACATTTTCAATTCACTTCAAACAGTGTGATCATTACGTCACGATAGAGTGCGCGCAAAGTGCACAGATTCTCATACGCGTAATAGATGCGCAATGAAAATTAAAAAATACCGGGATGTTGGCTCAACATTATTGCCCGCTAATTTAACATGCATTTTGCCATCGACTTTTCTGATCGGGCAATAATATTTGTTCATTGGTTAACTGTGTATTGTTTTTGTCCGGCAAATTAATCCCTGTGACTTCGCTGAGCAGTCAGTCAATAATATGTTCTCGCCCGCAGGTTTGTTGGCTTATCAATTAAAATTTGAGGGCAATAACATTTAACAAGGGAAACGCTTTCGGCGGTCTCGCCTGCATAACGCAATTCAATATGATAAACCAGAACGTCAATGACGCAGCGCTCATCCGCATCTCACAACAACAAATATCGTAAATTTTATGTGGTACACTTTTGAACTGGTCAAAAAATTGAAATTTGATGCCCTGGAAGGGACATAATTTCATTTCATTTGCATAAAGTACCATAAATAATCAATGGAGCAAAATCTCACAATTCTGTGTAGAAGTTTATTGTTCCAAATTTAGCTCTACCAGATAAGGCAAAATCGGTCAAGAAATGAGGGAATAGAAGCAATTTTTGTTATTTTTGGAATAAATTTGCATAAATTACCATAATTAATTAATGGAGAACAATTTCAAAATTCTGTGTAGAAGTTTAGTGTACCAAAGTTAGCTCTACGATATAAAGCAAACCAAATCAAAATCGGACGAGAAATGAAGGAGAAGAAGCCTTTTTTGTGATTTCGAATAAATTTGCATAAATTAGCATAGATAATGAATTTCACGATTCTGTGTAGAAATTTTAAATTCCCTCCTAGCCCTATCATATGAAACAATCAGAATCAAAATCGGTTGAAAAATAACGAAGAAGAAGCATTTTGAAAATCTTAATATTGATGCCACAACAAAGTCTAAGTTTGTTGACCTTAAATGGCCTTTGACCTTAACTTAGTGACCTGAAATTCTACTCACATGATTGGGGAGACTTGATAACCCTATAGTCCAAGTTTCATTGACTAAGAACTTATACTCTCAAAATTATATCAAAAATTCAAAAACTTAACCTTAGGTTAAGTTTTTGATGATGATGCTACAACATAGTCCAAGTCTGTTGACCTGAAATGACCTTTGACCTTGACTTTGTGATCTGAAATTCTACTCACATGATTGGGGATACTTGATTACCCTACAGTCAAAGTTTAATTGACTAAGAACTTATACTTTAAAAATTATACCAAAAATTCAAAAACTTAACCTTAGGTTAAGTTTTTGATGTTGACGCCGTCGCCGTCGCCGTCGCCGTCACCGGAAAAGCGGCGCCTATGTCTCGCTTTTTGCTACGCAGGCGAGACAAAAATTGCCCTGCTCAGATATCTGATACGGTTAATAATGATTATTATCATCATCATCATCATTATTATTGTTATTATTATTATTACTATCATTACTATCATTACTATCATTATACTAATATCGAGTCATGGGTTAATCATTAGAGTTGAATTTTCATAGCTGAGTCCCTTAACCTTTTATTTGCCACGAGTGCTAACTGGCGCAATCAAAGGCATGCCATGAGTGCTCATGTGCACAAACATTACCGGTAATCATCTATACTTAAAAGGATTTGCACTGTGCATTAAAGGGATAGTTGAGTTCTGTTTTCAGACCGCAAATGCCTTCAAAGTGCATGGTTATTCCTCTTATTCTTATCTATGACATTTCTAGTGCCCTTTTAGGACCTAGAATTGCTATGAAGGTAATTTTAGACCCCAAAATATGTCAAAATCAGCCAATACGATCATACCAATTCAGCTCTACTAAAATAAAATATGGTGACCGTTAATAAATAAATTAATTAATAATAACAATACATGGGCCAGCTGGTTGTGTGTACTATAACCAACACGAAAAAGCCACACAAAAAAGCCAACATCGGCATTGGCTGAAATACAACGTAAAAGGCGCTATTTCGTTTTTTCAACGGCTTTTTCAAATTATTGAATATTTGTGGTGGTACACAAATATTAGAAATTGTTATATTTAATGATATTGTAACGAAATTTGATTACAAGTGTTTAATTCAGACTGCTCTCGTTCAGTTCTCGCTCAATATCTCTCTCACTCGAGCTCATGCGTGTATGCAATATAAATTCAACAGAAGAAATGGAGTATTCGTGAGTTTCAGTTCCATTCGATGTTTATTACTTCAAATAATGACAACTTGGTATACAGTCAGGTGCAGTGAATTACGAAAAAACGGCAGAAAGGAGTACGAGGAGAAGTCTCAAGAAGTCAGTCCGAAGTCTCTCTAAGCTAGAAGTCTGAAGTCCGAACTCTCGAGATTTTAGAATCCCTGGCTTTATATAGGGAGCTGTTTTGTAGCAGCAAGGACACAACCCGACCTCGAGCTAAAGGGCAGAGTCTGTCCTCAAACTGAGGACAAAGTCTGGCCTCCGCTCGGGGTCAGTCGGAGGCCGCACGCGACTGAGTATCTGTCCTTGCCGTTACGTAAGACGAGGACAGATTCTCTAGACGAGCGTGGCCCTGGGCTTACGCAATCGAACTGCAAGAATTACTCGAGGACGAAAAACAACGTCGTAAATCTACCGAAGGACAAGTTTGACTTGCACAGCAAGCAATAATATTATAGCGAAATAATAATGGACTATGCACATGATACAGACATATATCTAAATTCGTAACACTATTCCCCCTCTCCTTAAAAAGTCACTGTCCTCAGTGATTGATAAAAAAAATAGAATTACAGTCATGTTAAACCAAAAAATTTGCACTACAATGTATATAAAGAATTTAAAGGAAAAAAAATCCTGACATATCGTGTAATGAAGCGAATGAGGGATAGCAAACATCAAATCTGGATCTGAAAACTTGGTCAAAATAAAAGCACGTTGCAAAAGTTGCCTAATTAGCACTTTAACAGACGACATGTGTAAATTTCAAAACGGCATATATGTTTGTCTACCCATACGTAACATTGTGATAGAAACCAGCACAGTCTTAATCGCTTGGTACAGTGTAATCTAGTTTTCAAAAGTTTTGGTGAGTTTGACATAAGATTCGGGGTCATGAAGCCACGACCTTATAAAGTAAAACGAAAATCTATATAAGACATAAAAAAGTATCCTTTACAGGCTACTATAATACAACGCAAGTAACTGTCGAAAAGTCGAGGAGAACTAATATAATACTAGAAATACAACGTCAAAGCAGACCTAATTATTTACATAATCGTTCAGGTTGCAATAAGATATATGGAATTGAAAACAACAAATAGCAAAAACAAAAGCTACTGAAATGCTGTAAAATTATTGACAATTAACCGCCTCGTACACTGACATCTTTTTTTTTTAGTCAAGATTTGCTGAAGCAGCAGAATGAAAGCCGCTTCAACAGTATCATTTTTTTTTTTTGGCGAAGCAAATCCAGTGGCCACGTGTCCGATTTTTTTTTTTTTTTTTTTTTTTTTTTTTTTTTCCCACTCTTGGTCAGCAGAAATGCAGCACGCGATCCGAAAAAACGCGATCATTGTGATTACGCATCACCATGCCTCTAGCAGCAATATGACAGCTTCGGATCTCAAGACAGGCCGAACAGAATATCAGTGAACGAGGGGTACTAAACTCAACACACAAAAATACGTTCCCAAGAAAACGGCTACGCGGCCGCTAACGAATTGAGTTTCAACTATATGCACAAAAATCGATTAAAAGATTAAAACATCCAAATATGTAACAGAAAAATAAAGAAGACATAGTGATAGGGAAATAGATGGAGAGAGGAACAAGAGAAGAAAGATAATTATAAGGATCGAGAGGTATAAAGGGAGGCATATTGTTGCCGAGGGCTAGAAATAAGGAGAGGTAATAGAATGCAAATGCAATATACAATTGATAACATGTACAAAATAGATTCAAAACAACAGTTTCAACAATGAAACAAAGTTCGGTAAAAGAATCGCGCAATCTTCATTCGGACAACAGAGTTCTCTATCAAAGTCTCCTCGATCTATGATCAAATAGTCCCAGTTTATCTTGAAATGTTAGAATAAATGTCCAGATCTGTCGACGAGGACCGATGTCTTGTCCTGCTGATTTAAGCTTAAGCGAGAGTGACTCTGTGTAGGAATCCTGGCTTCACATTGATATTCCATTATATTCGGGAAATTTGTAATGATAATTCTGCTTCCATAAACATGATAAAGCTCGTGGTTGTGTAAACTCGCCTCTATACTGAATTCAGATAACTCAATCAGAAATAAGAATATTTTTAGGATATTCCATAAGGATCACGTAACAGCATTGACTCA